AGAATGGTGCTAGGGTGCTCAGTTATATCATATGTGTAGATAGAAAATAGAAGAGGGCTTAAAACACTACCTTGTGGTACTCCCGCAAGTTGAGGAAAGAAGAGAGAAGTAGAGGAATCAATAGTAATACAGAATTTTTTGTTTTAATATTTAGGTTCGTTTTTGAAAACAAATAATTTCCCAGTCTGGTTTAGGAATCGTTAATTATCTTGATTTACAAGAAAAAATGTATTATGATTCATTTTAAAAATAAATGACTGATTTTATAAAATTTATTTTTTACTTTTAATACGAGTTTGAAAAAAGATGAGATTTTTTTTATTTTTAATGAAGTACTTGGAACATGGTACGTGAATTTCTAAAAAGTTTATCTAGCTGAAAAAACGTTTGTGACAACTGTTGAAAAAAAAATAAAGTGTGAGAGCGTGAGCCTAGTGTGGTCAATGGTGTCGCTGTTCAGTACGACTTCTTTCCAGCGCCTGTTGTTGGATGTAGGCCACGAGGGAAACCTTATATTTAAATTAAAGTATTTATTAAAGCATAATTATTTAATTTATTGATTTATAATTTGTTTTTATATTTATATTTTTTCAGAAGTCCAATAGCCTCTTACGTGTTCATTTTTTAAACTCGAATCGGTATCCCTTTCGTTTATCCTGTTTCTATGCATTTGAATATTGGAATTCATCCCATTATTGTACTATAATGGGTCTATCGAACCATCCTCAGGATCGGAACCGCTATAGCCTTGAGATTGGTTATCTAATATCGGCGCATCCTCCATCCTACGCTTAAGCTATAGGCTGGATCTAAGCTATATTGATAGGAAATTGAGGTACACCAATAAGCCTACGATAATTACCTATAAGTATTATCAACCTCTAGTAAACGTTTGAGAATTATGCAGTAAGATCTGAGTATTCTCTAGTTTTTTTTTTTTTACTGTATTGCATACAAATTCGACATTAAGGAGCTATAAATAATAAATAAAAATTTGATCCGCATTTGTGAATGTAAGCTTAATTGGTTTTTTTTTAAATCCATTATTTTTTTAATGCCAATAATAATTTGGGAATTTTTCTACCTGATAATTACCTTCACAGGGTATTTATTTTTTTTAACGTTTTAAATTCATATATGTATATATATATATATATATATATATATATATATATATATATATATATATATATATATATATATATATTATGTTCATAATGATGTGAAATTAAATAGAAATAAAATAATCCATATTACAAGTGTTTTGAATAAACTCTGCAAAGTTAAGTAGCCAAAGAAATTTGTAAGCTTTCAATTAAGAATATGTTATTTGTTTTTACATACATAATTTTATTCTGAAATGTATACAAACCGATATAGTGCTATTTTAATGAAATGATCAATTTTTTTGTGGATTTTCTTTTTTTTTTTTTTTTTTAACCGATTTTCTATTGGAGATACTTGATCCAGCTGATTCTTCTTTTGTGTTAATAATAGTAAGCACTGATATTATTAAAAATGCTCTCTAACTCAAATTGAATTTTACAAATTTTATATATTGGTTCTCTTCTGCTAACGACTTCTATGTTCAATTGAGGAACGTCTTGAAAGAATCATAATTAAAAATAAAAATAAAATGTGGAATTGTTTACTTTTTATGTCTGTAAAAATCAGCTTTCACTTTTTGGTATTATTCAAAACCAAAAAAAAAGAATGAAAACGGGATGGGGGTGTTATAAGGATATATGTTATATGGTAATATTATTATTTTTCTTCTATCGATGTTTATATATTTTAAATATTTTCCTAAATAAAATCGGAGGACCAGAATGAATATCAAATAATTGAAATGATTTAATCTGGTGAAAATACATAGGAGAGATATGAAAACAGTAAATTAGATTAGTGCTATTCATATTTGCACTATTTCATTTTTAATATTCTGTTTAATTCCTACAACGTAGAGAGATATAAAACATAGAGTATTGTGTGCTATTTCTGCCTGCACCCCACACAATCATCAAGATTTTATCCACAATCAACAACCACTAGCGGATCCAGGATTTATTTTTTTGGGAGGGGGCTTCAGCCTGGAAGCTTTTTTTTCATATATATAACGATAATTACTTTATAAAAACATAAAGATACTTACTACCTATATGAAATGGTGTTTAAGTGATTGTTTAATATTTTTTACCATAAAACATGGTTACATTTTCCATTTTCGGAGGGAGGTCTTCAGCCCGAAAGCCCTCCCCCCCCCCGTAAATCCGCCTGTGTCAACAACATATCCATAATTAAAGATCTTTTTCTTTTACAAATGGTTGGTATTTAAATTAGCAACGATACTTTTTGGAAAGGACATTTGAAGACCTCATCCAATTTAATATTAATATTTAATGTTCAAAAGAACTAAATTGAAAATTCAAGTATTGACAAACTTTGTTTTATTTAAGTTCAATGTATCATCATGTGTAATGTATGATTATACTATTAAAATTTTAATTTAACCTGTTTCTCATTGATATGTTTTTTGCCTTTAGTATAAATTTTCATTTGTAATCATATTTATATGAAAATAATTGACAAATTAATAATTACAGCCCCTCCGATTTGAGTTATAAAGTTGGAAATTTGTATATACATCGGGTTGGTGTTAGGGAAAAACTAATGGTTGTTTTATGTTTTTGGTGAATTAAAATCGGGAATAAACTATAAAGTTATAACGGCCGAAAGGCGTGTGACGATATAGACGATAACAATTTTAATAAATCTGGGCTTCTCCATGAAGCTCTTTTATGCATATAACATACTTCCCCAAAAAGGGGCCGAAAAAAAAAGGAACGTTGGATTCAGAATTTTATATGCGAATAATTAAAAAAATACATAAATGACGCTTTGCTTTTTTGTATTGGAAGTGCATATAAAAGTATACAGTTATACTATGAGCGAATATGTAAGAGAAGAAAAAAAAATGTTGGGAACATACAAATTCATAATGTTTTACTCAAATTTTCATAATGTATATGATCTAATTTCGACCACCTGGTAAACATTGTTACAGTCGTGATCATAGAAATCGCGTCACCTTTTCCTTTTTTCTTATTACGTTATCAACGTTGATTCCATTGAATGTTTTGGTTTTTGTTTACTTATTTGGGTTACAAGAAAACTTAAACATTGTTTCTCAGTTGTGTTTTAACTAATGATAGGATAAAATGTGTAATTATGACCAGTTTCAAATAGCTCTCCTTGTCATAAAATATTAAAATTGTGACGTTACATGAAGTGAAGGAATTTTCATGGCGACGATAATTGGTTACCATCAATCAACGTTAGTCATAGTTTCGATAAAAATCTTTCTCAGGGTACCATTGATCGAAATAAAGGAACTGGGAGGAAAAAAACACACGAAATATTTGACCAATTAATTGTTAAGTTGTTCTTAGAATATTGCTTCAAAACTGGCAAAGAAATACCCAGATATTTTGCAGATAGCAATCTACTAAAAATAATAAAATGTTTGCTAGCACTAGTACAGTACAACTGTAAGAACATCATTTTATCCAATTTTTATTTTATTTTATTATTTTAAAGATACAACATTTTGGCATACAAATTGTAGATTTGGAAATTGGACCAATTTCCAAACCTTATTATATAATTCTATTGATAAACCTCTTGTCAAATTTTACTTCATTTTTTTTTTTCACAAAGAACAAATATGTCTAGTTGGGTCTCATCGTTTTATCAGGGTTAAGTATATGGAGAGACTTTATTCTTCTTCATATAGTCAGTTTCTCCAGGAGACTATATGGAGGTGAATCGAATACGGTCGTATCCTTGTAAACAAAAGGAAATAGGACAACATAAATAGGAAATATGGACAGAAGTATAATTATTTTGCTTTTTACTGATATCCATATGAACAGCAGAGACGTAACTCTGCTTCTCATGTTAATTTTTTTAAGGAGAAACGGGCCTGGGGGACGGTTCTCAAAAAAATCTTAAGTGGAACTATTTTATTAAGCCTTCGTTTAGACCCAGATATCCGTCAGCCTATAATGTTCGTCAGCTATAGTCGGCTATGGTAATTCAGTAACAAATCCGCACGGATTCTCTTCCTGACCATAATCCTGATGAAGACCTGAATTTTTTGGTCGAAACGTAGTGTTAATATAGTTTAAATTTTTTTAAAGATTTTTTGATGAACACCTACCCGGACTGTCTCTTTCCTCAATATGCAACAGTCAATTATTGAGTATTCGTTAATTTTTTTTTTAATATACCATTTGGTAAGTGGTATAAATTCTTATTGAAGGAAGTTAGCCCACTGTTCTACATATTATGGGTGATAAATATTCCCTCCTTGCTCTGATTATGTTTACCTACCTTTTGCTATCTGAAAAAGCACTTCTGGAAAATCCTCCCCTCACCCTTTTACTTACCTACCACAGTATCAGTACTTAAATACCACCAGTGCTCGAAACATGAGTAGTAAATGAAAATATTAAATTTTGTATAAATTGTTTATATGCATATTTCATGTATCATCAATCACTTTATATTTTATTATTAACCATTATCCGTCGAATAATATTATATCTCAAATTATATTAAAAATTTTCAGCCTTGATGATGATGCACATTTTTGGGTTGAAACGTCGGCGCTAATAAAAACTTTATAATGACTGCGTTCTGAATATTCCCCATATTGAATATTCCAAATCTGAATATTGATATATCTCCCATGATATAGATTATTATTGTATTAAACTGTCATGTATACTTGTAAAATGGCTATTTTTGCGCTCTCATATAATGCTAGGTTATCTGTTCCTTTCCTCAAACTGGATGGAGAATGGTGGTGATGAGATGTCGTAGAGGAAGTTCAATCATTGGCGGCGATCTGCATACATAGAGGTCGGATCCTGTTCCAGAGGTGATGCTTTTCAATATCGGAGGACGAAGGGGGTTGGTGTGGAGGGGGTACCTTGTGAATGTCAAGCAGGAGGGGATCATCTACTGGCGCGGAGAGATTTATAGAAATGTTGTTGGTGCTGTGTGTGTGTGTGGAGGCACGCCCTGCAATCAATGCTAGGACTGTTGAGGGCGCCCTTGGATCCTGGCCAGAAACTCCTCTTCACTCTGTCCATTCACCGCCAGCTCTTTTGTTTGTTTGTCCCTGTCTCTTTCTCCCATGGTATGTGAGCACAGCTAAGCCACTGTCGTTTTACTGTACTAAAGTATTTTGAATAGAAAAATAGTATTCGCATCATAAAAAAAAAAAAAAATAGTAATGTTTTCCTTTTGGTAATTTGCCAAACGAAAGTAAGTTTGGCTTTGGAATGTCTGTATCATGTCCCTCAGCATTAGTCGGATTTTGAAAACAATATAAATCATTAATAACAACTGTACAAAATCATGTGCTGTGTGCTGTGTGCACACATCCATTACTTACCACCATACTTTAAGTAGTAATAGGCATTTTCAGGTAATAAGAAGTAGAAGTTGAAAAAAAAAATACAGGTGGTACAGCATACTACTTGAAATAATTAATTTCCATTTTCGTTTTCTTTTACAAATGTATATTTATTTAATTATAATAAATATACATTTAGTGTCTATTTTGTGAAACATGTGTTCCAGTGATAAACAAGGCTGATGTATTTGTTTATATTATGGATATTTTTATTTGTTAAGCACTGGTATACATACAACTTGTAATTTTTATATTGATGTAATCTTCACAATCAAAAATTAAATAATACGAGCTCCATTTATGAAAAGCGCACTTAAATGTGTAAATAGTTTTGTCGGAGCCCTTTTTATATTTAGTACATGGTACATTTTGATGCTTATCCTAACCTTTCGGCAAAGCTGGAGTGCGCACTCGGATTTATTCGGTTCCACATTAGCATTCCTTTTCTCTTTTAATTATTTACAGAGTTGTCAAAATCTTTCACAGTTCATATTTAACTATTTTTTATTCCTGTTTATATTGTGAACTGGTTATTCCAAATCAACATGATCATAAGTACTTTAGAGGTTGAAATTTTGAAAATTAGGCATTAAAGCCATGTCACATTGTTTCAGTGAGAATAATGCCTACCTGATGTGAAAGACAACTTAATATTACACTGGCATAATAAATTTAATCAAAATCGTTGGAGATGTTTTAAGGATATTGAAAAAATGTTTTACGTCGATCATATAAAGTGCAGATTTCGGTCGGCCAATTTAGACAAAAAAGTTTGTATAACATCCCAGGTTTATACAAACCTTAAATATGCAATTTCAATTTCGTACGACTTTCCTTTTTAGAGCTATACTGATGAGGCAAACACAGATTATTTTGAGGGACTTTGTTATTATGACTCTGGGGCCCTCAAAAACTTGACTTTTATAGATTTTTAGGAGCCCTCAAAATCTTGTATTTACGTTGGAAACTCAGATTCGAAAAATTTCACGATCGCAATACTTTCCTTTGCTATATATTACACATATATGTAAGTGAAAGTAAAAATGAATAACACTGACTACTGACGATAAGTGGTTTCAAACTATTTCTAACGAAGAGTCCAGATCTGAAAAGCCAATTTTTTTTTTTATGAAAAAATACTGTAAGATCTCAGGCACATTTTTTCCTTAAATATGTATTTTCAGTTTCCTGCGGATTTTCATTTTTGAGCTAGATTGTTTTATACACACACAAGACCATTTTGCGAGACTTGGTTATTTGGTAGGCTCAGGTGCCTTTTGAAATTCGGATTCGATCATTTTCACAATTACAATACATTTCCTTACTATATATTTTCTATATAAGTACATGAAAGTAAGAAACTAGACTCCTTTAAAATAAAATGTAACAAACTTTATAATTCTATTTATTCATGATCATAATTATGTTTATTTTCCAAACATGAATCAAATCATCGATCATTTGTTTTTAAAGTCTATGAATAGAAAATTAGGTCCATTCTTATCAGGATTAAATCGATTTTTTTTAAACCCATAGCCCAGGAGATTTTATGAGAGCGAATACCAAAATAACACTGTCCTATACTGCTTCATGAATAAAATATCTTGGCTTGTAAATATACAGTACTGCTTAGATAGGGGCTGCTTTCTCGGCCCCTAGCGTGCCTTTATGCTCTAACTTGTATGAAAAACTCTAATGTATCATTTATGAAAAATTCTTGGGAGATAAATCATTCAGTTCATGGATTATAGAGATTATTTTATTACATAGTAGTCCGGATGTTTGCTTGATTTTATAATAATAATAATAATTTAAATATGTTCTACAGAAATAAATAGTTAGAGCTTAAACTATTTATTGAGTAAGAAGATGATTCGGGGTGGCGGTCATTAAAAGACTAAAATAATAAAAATAACTACAAACTACTTTATTTAAAGCCAATGTTTTGACCCGACTTAGCAGGTCTTCAGGGCTAGAACGAACAAGATAGAAAAGGCTATAAAAAAACGTGGAGGTTAAATAGTGTTTAGATAAAAAATATATACAATGTGAATGAACTTATTAATATTATAAACAGTGTTAACAGCAAATACATATAAATAATAATACAAGAATATACATATAAATATAAGAACTATAGAACAACAACTAGAAATTGTAACTAATAGCTAATAACAAAATAGAGTCAAAGTATGTTGGAGCATAAGCAAATATATTGGAACGTTTTTATAACAAAAAGATATATAAAGAAGTCGAATAAAGTGGTAAAGTAGTAGAAATTATTAATAATACCACGTGTGTGGAAATGCATTATTGCAACGTTGAACTAGCACATAAGAAAAGGTCTAATATTTTGACGAATAGATTTTTACCATAAAATTTTTATTTTTATTTTTTATTATTTTAATGGAATTTACAACTGTATTACATAGAGAATACAATAAGTAAATGAGAAATTTGTAACATGGCATGTACAACATGAAGAGAAACTACCCATTGGTAGAACTCAAACCATAAAATTTAAGAAATTTTACGTCTATCATTTATAAATGAAATGACCCGTAACCTCAACATGACATTTACTCAACACCAAAATATTATCAATAAGCCAAGAGCTCAACCATTTATTATCGATGAATTTAGAATGAAGAAAACATCCACGAATCCAAGAAGGCAAAAGGATGAGATAAATTGTAACTATATAGTTTACTTTGGTACAGTTCACCTCATTCCTTTATGTTTGATATATATAATTATCTGAAAAGTTATTTTATTATTACTTGCACACCTAAATCATTCAAATAAACGGACAACTACAGCTCTATTAACTAAACCAATACTTCTCTAAGTTTATTTCCAGTAAGTTTCTTAAGGTCGCTTTTCAGATCTGTACTCTTCGTAAGAAATATTATGAAACCCTTCATCATAAGTAAGTGTTATTTATTTTTTTTCTAAATATTTTGATGAGATGTTTTGTAATATCTAACTTCGGTCATTGTATATGTTCTGGTGAAATATACATATATAATGATTGAACTATTTATAATTTCTAAATATACATAGATGTGTGGTGGTGTACTCGTATTTCTATGCAAATGATAAATAGTTGTTCAATGAGCTTTAATCCCTTCACTTCTATAACAAAGAAATGGATTTATATCTCCATACCTCCTCACTATTTTTCCTTTTTTTTTTTCCTTACACATTTCCCTCGAAATGATTATAGAAATTCAAACTGATGGCAGTTTAATCTTTGCAGGCACTTTTCAACTCTCAATTTTTTCCGAACTGCCTGTCGGGCTTCTCATATTTTTTCACAAAAAAATTACCGTAATATCTCTTCTTATTCATGAAAGGGCCTGGCAATAAAACTGGCGGAAGTCGACAACGCAACTTTGTAAAGCGGAACTTATACCATAAAGCCACTCGGGGAGGCAACTTTACGAATATTAGGTCACTTAAGGAATAAATGTTTCACTTGGAAAGCGTAAAATAAATCAGTCGAAACGGGAAATTTTAAAATAGTGCTATTGCAACTTTTAGACAGCATGGATTTATGAGTTTGACTTATTTGCCATATCATATAGCTTGTGATAATTTAAAATTATATTATTTTGGTGAATAGCCCAGTAACCTTGTCATGAAAAGAAGGGGAATATAAGTTGCATGGAATGAGGGTAGAAGGTTCTTTTTTTTTCTTGTATGGGGTGTGATTGAGATGCAAAATCTAAGTTTTCGACCCTTCTCCTCCTGGATCACTTTAATAAATCCCAAGAACTGCTATATTTTTCACTTTTTTCGTGTTTTTTTTTTTTACTTTTTGAACCTGAAGTAACACGTTTTCGACACATGACATTCTATATATTTTTAAACTGAATTAAATACGATACAATTTAAGACCGAAACAGGTTCGGTAAGTTTAATAAGTTTTAAGATAAATGTTTTATAAATTTGTCGAACTTGGAGATTGGAAGCTATTTTTGATGTTTAATCATATGCAATTGTCTTTATAGCTTCAATTAACCTGTCTTATATGATGCAGTGAAGTAAATTTGTATTCCTTTTAACATTTTGAAGGAGAGCTGAGGGAGGAGGGAAGCCTTGATGGGAATGGGGAAGATCCCTTTTCCCAACCAGAAGACGAATTGGAAATACAAACTTCATTTAACAATGACTTACATCAAGTGCATACAAAAGTTGTAAATGTAGCCAATGAAATTTTTGAAACTGGAAAATGTTATTCTTTTTCTCATCTTCATGTCTTCAATAATCTGCTTTATAAGAGATAGTGAAGTAAACATTTATTTACTTTATTATTTTGAAGGAGTAAATAAGAAAGATCCAAAATCTTTGAAAATATGACAAGGAACTGGTAGAAACAATATTTATAGGAAGAGATATGTAGTCGACAGACGAATAGAGAAGCACTACAACTATGCCATGTATGAGAAACGAATGAGGTGGCAGAGGACTATAGGCATTAATATTAGGCCAGTACTATTAACATTTGTTCATTAATAAAACCAATATAATGTACCAAAAACGTTATTATATCACTATAACTAAGCGATTTATGTGTACAGAATGGTGTGGTAGAGGCCTGTAGGGACCTACGCCGACACCGCTTTTCTCCCGCCTAAGTGCCTTTTTTAAGGAACTGCTTCAAATATTTTAAAACTTAATCAGTGATTTAGAAAGATAAATGTGTTCTCTGGATGTTTTATTTTGAGGCTTTTTTCGTCATTGTTGCCCGTTTAATTACAATGGAGGCTCAATTTTCAACTTTAGTTTGAACGACTTAATAAAATTGACTCTACTGATACTTTTTAATTCCAAGATCTATTATTTTTTTAAAACTTTTTATGTTTTATTATCTAGTTTCGATAACAGACCAATTATGAGGAAATTAAGCCAACTGCTGAATCTCAGTGACCGAAAAACTAAGTCAATTCTAAGTTTTCAATCCTCTATGTTTGGGCGCTATTTTAGGACAGCGCCGCTACTTCTTTTGTGGAAACATTTTCTTTTTTCTAATATATAGATACAAGGAACACAACGATATGCAATTTATAGTGATGAGTGGAGAAGGTACACGAGAGTGGGATCTGGCCCACGGACTACCCTTACTGCATGCGAAGGTGGTGTCATTGAATTGAGTTTATTGTATTGAAAAAAGAAAAATCGTATCATCCATTATAACTATAATAATAAGTCATCTTTACTTGTTTTTCAGGTTTATTATTGATAGTAATATAACATAATAGTATATGTAGATGTTTTTTTTTTCAGTAATTTTAAAATTACAGATTCGTAATCATTCCTATACTGCAACAGACTATAGGCTGTATAGAGGCTGGAAAAAATTTTATTCTGATAACACGATCTATTTTTTTCTATAGTCAATGTCATAATTAGTAATTAGAGGATAATTTAGGAAATGTATTTAGAAATTGGACATTGTTACATTGTAGAGTTCTGCGAAAATTATACGATTGACGACTACATTTTTAAATCTAGTCTATCTAGATTAAAATATTCGAAATAATCATTTATTTTTTGGTCCCTTCAAACGGCTAACGAATAAAGATTGTGTAGTTATTTACGAACTGTATATAGGTGTGAATGTGTTTTATATATTTTAATTTCATTTAGTTTCTCTCTGCAAGTCTTTTTTACATATTTAAGTTAATTTTCTTATTTTACTTTCTGCAACTCTTTTTCTTTTATCTCTATTTTAGTTATCATTTGTATGTATATATTGTGTCAATGTTTAATGTAGCCCCGATATTAATGCCCTCCAATGCGGCAGAATGTATTAATTTTTAAATTAAAAAAAAAAAATTATAATAAAATCTTAGGTATATTCGTCGTAAACGACTATAGTTTTGTTATCGAACTTTCAGAAATAAGTAAAAAAATAAATTTAATGAAGCAGTGATTTTTAAATTTCATCAGCCGTGGGTCGACCCTGAACTAGGAGATCCTCTTGAGGCGAACCCATCATCTATAAAGCGGATACTCATAATTAAATAATTAATTAAGGGGGAAACCTGGCGGTTGAGCATGATATTGGCCAGTTCGTTACCTCCCTACACAACCGTTGGCCTTGTAACAGTACTTCCTCACATTGTACTGAACCCAAGACCCTTCATGGATTGTTAATAGTACAGGGTTTTTTTTGTTTATCGGATGGAACATAAAGGAAGTATTCAAATAAAAGTAAACAGATTTTAATAGTTTCGTTTTTCTTTCTTTGTAGAAAACGTGAACATGTAAATATATTATTTTATATATTATTGTTCATTTTTAGTAATTTTACAATCAAATAAAATTTTAGTCAGTTTCAGTTGTTATTCATGTTTAGAATACAAATTAAATCGATTAAATTTCATATTTATCTCTTGTTGATCATAAATAACCAGTTATTTATGTTGATATATAACCGCTATATTCGTAATTCTCTCGTTCGCCAACTCAACTAATCAACCAATATTTGCCTAAGATTGGTTGATTAGTTGGAATTAATTTCAGAAATTGGAATTAACTCATTTTTCTATGAAATGAGTATATTATCTTTCAGACGTAAAATCTTCATTACAGAAATATTAGCAAAATTTTAATATCATCGTTTCGATTAGCATTGAATTGTTACGCCTCACATTTACTGGAATTGTTCTTTAAAATAATATTAATGAATTTAATTTTAAGTAGATTTAATCATTTTTATGCGATAAAGAATTAATAGAATTATTTTAACAATAACTGCATGTTTGCTGATAAATTACCGAGCCGACCGATTCCGGTAAATACTGCAGGGGGAACTGGTGCAATGCCGTAAACGGCTGCAAAATTAACTGCAATATATCGCCCCGTTTTTCAATTAAGCCCTCCTCTTTAATATTTATTATTTTCGTTTTGATGGATGTTTTCTAAGTGATCTACGTCGGCGAAGAAAGCAATTTCTCACCCTTCATTTGTTTTCTCTGTTAGTTATTTTCATATAATTTAATTTCCAAAGCGGAGCTCGAGTAAATTTACATAATAAAAGTAAATGAAATTATTAATTTGAGTTAGGAATTTCGTAGACTAAATATTAACTTTACGTTATCCATATATATGTATATATATATATATATATATATATATATATATATATATATATATATATATATATATATATGTATATACATATATATTTGTGGCTTGATCTCCAGAATAAGAGGAAAATCACTGTAGTTATGAAATTAAGAAAAAGTTTAAAATACAATTGTACTTGTTAATGAAATTTAGTGTAATGGATCTGCGGAAATAGAGTTAACCTAAAACAGGTAACGGTCTAAAGAAAAATGAGAATAAGTGCAATTTATTGTATTTAAAACACCATCGATTTCTCAGTCCTCAATGGATAATATATGTGTAGCTAGATTGTATATTTTTTTTTTTCGAAAGCTGGATTGTATGGTTTTTTTTTTGGTTTTTTTTGGGGGGGGGGTCCTCCCCTTCCTCGCCTTTAAGGCTACACGGGGTTTCCTCGGGCCAGGGGATGTGGGCGGGGATTTAAAATACTCCCCTAGCACATGGACGCGAACTCGTTACTATTTTATGTCAATTGTCTCATAGATCAGGTTGTCGGGCAACGGCGGCGCTGTGCACACACGTTACCCCGTTCGTCCACCCCGCCCACACAACTTTTTCTACATCCATATAGGATTATCACTGATTATGTGTCAACCTAAATTTGCGAATTTCGAAAGCTGGTGAAACTAGTAGGGTCCAAAATTTATCCTAACATCATCCTGTATTTGGATCTTTTGTGTTAACACATATTTCGTTTTTTTCCTCATTGGCAGTCAAACCACTTTCCTCGCTGAAAACTCCCACTACTGCTTCCAGTTCCTGGAAGGATTATATAACCGCTTTGCGAGACCGTCTAGCTAGATGTCGTATGCAAAAGCGGGAAACAGCACCGTCCTATTAAATATTGTGTCGGAAATTTAAATGCGGGTGTCACGAACTGTCTTTATGGAACAAAAAGGAAAATGAGACATGAAAAGCCATCACTTTTTCTCTCTTCCTTTTTTGATCGAAATTATTCTGAGGTGCTGTCCCCAATAAAAATATTTTTCAGGCAATAGAGAAGCATCATTTCAGAATAATGTAGAAAAAGACTAAAAGAGACTGAGTTCGAAATAAGATAATGAGATATAAGCTGTAAATTAGGCTAGCTGAGGATATCAACGGAGATAGTTTGGAGTTGCTGCTAGAAAGGCAGGAAATAGATTGGTGAAGGTCTTATATGAAGCAAAGGTGGAAGGGCATAGGAAGTTGTGAGAAGGCGCTATCCGGGAGGTATTTGAAGGAAGGGGGAAGTAGAGAACGGATGGTTCAAGTTTTATCGACGGTCCTCCCACTGCCACTCGGTCGTAAGAAGAGGAGAATAAATAAATAACATTTTTTTAATTTTACCCACTGGACAACTTTTAAATGATAATTTAATTCAAATAATTGAAATTTAACCGTCTCATACTTTTTAAATAACTGAGAAGTCCATTTATTATTATTTGTTTTCATGTTTTTTTTTTCTTTCTTATGCCTGGAATATTATTGCTTTCCAGCCAGCTAGTGAATCCTCCTCGTTTGCAGAGGTCAAGAAACATACAGCTAACGATTGGTTTGCGTGGCCGCTCGAGTTGCGTGGGATCCGCTGTTCTAAAAGAGGCGATAATTGCCGAATATCGTCTGCTGTTCCAACTCGTTTTGGCGGCCGCATTATAAATAGCAGGAGTACCGTTGTGGTCGGGTGGGAGTTGTGTTGCCTCTGTAGGGTCAGTGGTTTGTTGTACCAGCTGCCGCACCGGCTCTGAACGTGGGCGGCTATTTCGAATTACACGAGCAATCCAATACGAGTATTTACTTAAATTCTGCCAAATAGTCCTGCAATATTAAAGGCTGGCTGGTTTCATTTCGACTTGGTAGTAGCCAGGGGCTAAAAAGTTGACTAATTATGTAGATAAAATATTCAAAACAACAGTGTTCATTATTTAACAGTTATCATCTCAAAACAAATGTTGATAAAGTATTAATATTATTTTGAATTAAAAAAATAAAAGTTGATTAATTTGTGTACAAGTCATATATATTTTCTGAAACCCATCATACCTGGGATGGTTAAGTTGGCTTCTAATGTATGTAGCTAAATGAAATATAATTTAAAAATACCAAATAATTGGTTATTTGTTAGGCATAGATAATACTTGTTACAAACTATATAATGAATTTAATGACATTGAAATAATTAGATTCATATTGAATATTTAATAGTTGACCGTTGCATTATAAAGGAATTAGATGTTTCGCGGTGGCGGTCATAAATAGGCTGAATAGTGGCAAAACTATTTTATTAAAAGCCAACGTTTGACCGGACTTTGCAGGTCTTCTTCAGGAAGGTGTGTTCAGCTAGGAATTTCACTTAGAACTGGAGTTTTTAGAGTTGGAGTTCTGGACAACTTCAGTTCTAAGTGAAACTCCTAGCTGAACACACCTTCCTGAAGAAGACCTGCAAAGTCGGGTCGAAACGTTGGCTTTTAATAAAATAGTTTTGCCACTATTCAGCCTATTTATGACCGCCACCCCAGACCATCTCCTTCTTTTAATAATTAGATTCATTCGTTACTTTTTGTAAATGGAGGCATATGATAAGGTATAGAACGGTATTATTTTTTTTTAATAACAAATCTGTATCATTTATTTCGAACTTGGGAAGAAAGTATCTCTGCTATTTTTATAGCTTTTATTCTTACGAAATTGGCCACCTCATTCGGACTTAATAAATAACATGTTGTTGATTAGTGGTTCATTTTTTTTTATGGGTAGTTTTAACGTATCTTGTGATACAATTTCTTGAATGTACTTGCGTTTAAACATCTTTTATAATTTTATGCGACGTTTCAAAATAACATTGTCAATTTTCTAGTCTTCTTTACTAGTCTTAGAGTGAAAGGGTAAGGAAGTAATGCTTCTTGCTTAGCGGCCATGTACATGTTGTTGCGACCGAGAATATGACTAACATCGTTTCTCCTAATTAGTTATTTTATAATAAATTCGCTCTCTTTATTGAAGCTGGATGTAATCGAGATTAAATAGTTACATGCCGCAGCCAGATTCTGACCCGAGCATAGGAGCACTGTGCCGTACTAGTAAGTAGGAGTAGATCCACTAATCCACTGATCTACTCCTTTTCCCTATACAAAATATGTTTGTTTTTTTTTAAATACTCAAATTGATATCAAATATCTATTCTAATTTTAACATTATTATTAGTTTGGTGCTTCATCTTTCTGGAGTTCTGGTATTCTCAAACCAACTTCTCCCAAACGACTCTTACGCAGGCTATCTAATTGCTATGTCTTCTTTCGAAGAGCTGCTCTCCCAGTAGACTGCTTGGCATTTCTTTGCCTCTTATTCGAGTCAAATGGCCAGTCCATCCTGCTCACAAATGTTGTAAAACATCGGGTTGTCGATGTATGCATCAAAGAGCTTCCGTTTGCTCCTTCTTGTTTATTCATTGCCTATCCTCCTGCTCCATTAGTTGTGGTAAAGAGAATATTATCATTCCGAAGACTTCTCTTTCAAGCTTTTATATATTTATTACTGTTTATTCCTTATAAATAGTATTTTTTTTTATTGTTATTGTTATCATTTAAAATTAGCCCAAAACTTCATTTCTACTTGCCATTTCTTTGTTTCAATATGTCAATATGTTTTCATTATGTAGAGTGTTTAAATTTATTTTAGGAATCAAAGCCATAGATGATATTATATTTTTTCTTTATTTAATAAAGAAAATTAATGTTCAGAATTTTGGTGAAATAGGGAATTTTTAGATGTAAAAAAGTACAAAAATTCATGGAATCAAAAGTTATCTTTATTCCTATAAAACTTGACTTTTGAGATTAACACAATAGGAAAATATACATGATTTTTTGTTTGGCTTTACACGCATATTACAGGCATGTAGTAACAACATATATTATAAAAATTTAAGTACCTTGACGTTTATGTTTACAATAAAGTAAAATTACTTCCTACGTACAATATACAGTTTACAGTAAATACAACACATAGACATTTACATTAGAAAATAAAGTATAATTTTAATATTGATAACTAAATTGGCTTCCCCTTTGAGGAACAGTAATATACATAGTAAATTAATAGAAAATAGTAAAATGAACAATAAAAATAACGGAATTTTACAGACACAGAAAATATGTCACCCGTTATGTTTTTTATGTGTTCTTTACTCTTCATTATGATAGAGTAATTGACATTTTCAGACAATAATAGAGGATAAATTAAGTATTTAACTGGATAAAAGGTTTTCAAATGATCATGGATTGAGCGGAATATATCTTCTTGTAAAAGAAGGGTCATTGCATTTAAAAATTAAGAAGGCTTATTAATATTTGGTGCATAATGAGCGATTCGTGAAATAATATCGTGAGTGACAAGGCTTAAATCATTGTGGTATCCTGAAAACCAGAAATAAATACTTTGTAAAGCGATTCATAAATTATTTAAATTTCGAGGTAAATTAGTGAGTCCTAGTTATTCCTGACAACCGTAAATAAACTAAGAAGAGATAATGAAGTATAGGAGGTTAACGGATACAACAGGACCAGTTCACTTAATCTTACCAACTATTTGAGAATCCAAAATTATTTGAAATGACTCAAGGTTTCATTCGAAAGTTTTAAACAAAATTGTAAAAGTGGACGAAATTTCAATATTACGCTGGTATAAAATGGATTTACGTGAATTATTTTCTTTCTAATTAATGTGGAAAGGCTTAAAATTTGTTATCTGATAAGGATGTACAGGGGTAAGAAACAGGTTTAACTCTTAGTTTCTTTAATTTATTAAACGATCCATTACACAACGGAAACTGGGTGGCCCAATAGGATACCGCCTCAGTATTTTTCAGAAAATATTTTTTTGGTCCTACCAGTCTTCAAATTGTGTCTGCAAAATAGTAATACACCGGCTTACCCACTGACCTACTCTACTCACCTCTATATTTAAATTTTATATATATATATATTTTTTTTAATTTTTCTAGTAGTACTGAACTGACTTTTACGTAGCATCGCAAAAAATTACCTTTCCAACTTAAACTTTTTAACGCCTACCATGTAGAAATTTATTTTTTCGTTGTTTCCGACAAAAATAATTTTTAAACATTCTTTTTTACCATATTTAACAGGGCCTTTAAATAGCATATCACAGACAATTTTAAAAAAAAATCAATTTTTTGTTGAGTTTTTATTTAATGTTATTAAAGAAAAATGTTTTTAATTATATATCTTGATTCAGTAACTATTCTTATTTACAATTACCCATGAATTTTATTCGACTCAGACAGGGATTATCAGGTATATCAGATCTGTACAATTTTTCAGTTGATTACAATAATTGGAGACCGAAAACCTAAAAATATTTATCCAGAAACTTAAAAAAAAATGTGAAATTCCTATTATTTCGAGATATCTCCAATTATACACATTCCGATTCAATTCGGCTAATTAAATCATTTTTTTCTCTATTAAATAAAAATAAAAGTACTTATATACAAAATTGGTATTTAATAGAATTTATATATAAAAAAAAAAAAATGATGTGTATGTAATTTTGTTCTTAAAAATTTTTCTATGTATGTAATTTAAAAAATATATATATTTTCTAGATAAAAGTAAATTACAACTTAGATTATGTAACTTTGTGTTTTATTTCAAAGTTACATATTTATTTATAGTTTTAATTATTATATTATAGAATGAAGTAATTTACTGGTATGTGATGTGGCATGAAGACCTGAGACTGCGCCTCTTACAATTCTGCGTAACACAAATAGATTTAAAATATAATAATTTTTCATATAATTTAAGGAAATTGACCAAATAATATCGACGCCTCCTTTTTTTTCTATGTCGTCCCTCTCATGCGTTCCATTACCGTTGCCAATTAATTCTTAATTCCTCGTTGCTACTAGATTTAAATTCGCTAGCGCATTATGATTTATATTTTTCGTCGATATTTCGATAAAAAAATACAATTTTTATTTTAAAAAAAAATATATATATTATTTACCTTTTGACCGAACCTCAACATTCGTACACTTTCATTATGTAGAAATTTAATTTTTTTAAATTATACTCAATGTCAACACATTTTTTTTTCAATTCTACAAAATATAATTTTATGTGAAATGTTGAAAATATATCGAATTCAGAATATCCTTTTTATTTATATTTATTTAGAAATTTATCTGATCCCATAAATTATTTTCAATAAAAATCTAAAACTGCGGTGCGGTTTATCACACCATTGGCACAACACTCTGTCACAGCGTCGATTAAGCTGCGTTCACAGGTCCTGATACGGCCATCTATATTGGTCGTAAATATTCCCTCTAACGTTATTGGGACAGTATTTTCTCCAAGGTTGTATGACTCTTTATCTTTTCTTTGCTTAACGGTGAGTAAGGAAAGAAGATAGAAAGTAATAATGTAATATGATCTATTAGTGTATCGAAAATAAATCATGAATTGTATCTAAGACGATTATTAATGATGGAGAAAAATGGGATGGATCAATTTTAGAAGCAAAGATAATAATACAATTAATAGTTGTTTTTGTGAATAAAAATTAATTTAACAAGAATTTTTCTATTTTAACTTATAAAGAATCCTTTTTAATTTTTTTGTTATTTACCCTCTTATTGGTGCATGATTCCGGTATAATTATGATTTATCATTTACATAGTTTTCAATATATATATATATATATATATATATATATATATATATATATATATATATATATATATATATCAACTTTTCCTTTTAGGCTGTTTTTTTAGTGTAAAAAAATTCGGTATATTTTATTTTTATTAATACCTTCTCATCAATAAGGAATCATTTTTCTGTGCTGAACCCATCCCGGTTTCAAAATCATCCCAATCGAATTTATCTTCAACTGGAATTACTTTCAGGACTTATGACATTTCTACTTTTAATAATCGAAATATTATTATTAAAAAATCTGTGATATTATAACTTCTTCAGATCGAAGATCTAGAATATGACGAATTCGTTAGTACTTAAAATAATAGATGCATGAACCGAATTTGAAATCAATATTTAATATTAAGAAATTTATTTATCTTTAAGTTATTTTATTCTTTATTGTACTTATTTTTTATTATTATTTATTTTTTTTTATTTTGTTTATTTTATGTTTTCTGTGATTATGTGTTCATATCTCACTATAATTATGGTCCGTTTATATAATTATTTATTATTATTTTTATAGAATTGAAAGGAATGAATTTGTATAAGTCGGTTTTTTAAATGTATACATTGTTAATTTATTTTTAACCTATAAATAGTTACGATTTTATAACTTTCCTGCTGTTAACGTATCTAAAATTGATTAATTCCCGAAAATACATTCTTACGTGAACTGTTGTAATTATGTATTTAGATATTAAATGACCAGCGAAAATATAATGACGATACCTATGTACCTAAGAGTGCGACCACGATTGCTGTACCAGCATATCGGGATGCTCAAGCCAAAAGCAAAAGCCTGTTCGATATCAGTTTCGGTGATTGTCATTGATCCCGTTAAATATTGTAGCAATAAATATTAGTTTTTTTCCACTGGCTGGAATTGGACACTAGCCAGCTAAATAACCTTTATTCGCTTCACGTTTCGGTCTGTCTGTTTTTTTTTTCTCAATTCGGTCCACTGTGCGTCGGTTTCATATACAAGGCTCATCCGAGATAAATTAATGAATAAACTACACCATAAAAGATCTAGAATCCGCAAATCGTTGATGTTAATAAAAACCTTTTCTTTACGGAAAATATTCCCCAACCAAAAAGATAATAAATAAATAAAATCAAAATTTAAATGATGTACATTATTACTGAATTTAAACTTATCAACCTATAAATTTCAGTTCAGGTCGAACGAGGGATTCATTACGCATACAAAATAAAATATTGCACAATATTTGTAATCTAGCATTTGAATTTTATTGAAGGTTTTTCAAAGTGAAACAAAATAGTGAAAAAATATAATAGCTAATTTTGAACTAAAGTATAATTAATTAAAAACATTATAAGTATTTATAATATTGATGTTGAATCAATACGACGAACCCCTACATCCCATCCCGACTTTTAAGCCGGTGGCCAAGAGACTTTCTAGCTTAACAGATAGTAAATTCACTGACCATACTAGGCTAAATACTCATATTAACAATACATAAATTAATACATTCAATTATGGTTAGTTATTTCTGTTCCTGAGTCTCACACAGCTTAGAGGTAGACAAAGATGGGTTAAGTAATTAAAATATTTCTGTTTCTATTCCATAGTAAATTAAAAAGTAGTTGAAATATTAATACTTTTTCTATTAATATATATATATATATATATATATATATATATATATATATATATATATATATATATATATATATATATATAATCATAAATTACTGTATTGTTTTATTCACGTTTATACTGAAAATTTGCATTGCCCACAAAATACAACCATTTCAATAATTAGCTGGTAATGAATTACGTTCAAAGGAGGGTGAAGCCATCCTTTGATACTGTACGATCAAGCACTGAAAATTAGTTTTTAAAGTAAATATTTTTGGCCGTTTTTTAATCAATGAAAAAGTAGTTTTTATTGTTATTATTAATAACCATTCCATTTTTAGATTAAAAAATAAATTAATAATAATATCTATTTGTAGCGGTACAACGTTTTTTTTTTTTAAATGGCATTCGGCAATTCTTAACAGTTATATCTCCTTTATGCAATTCATAAAAAAAAGAAGAGCAGAATTGTGCATTTCAACAAATATATTAGTTTACGTAATTATCTATAATAAAAGCCGTTATTATTCATTATGTTAGTATCGACATAATGAATAATAACGGCTATCAATATGAACTAACTTATCGTTATTTAGGTTCTGATTATTATTAAATTCATATTCGTAAAATCAGAGAACTTGACCTTAGTATGGATTAATCTATTATTATAGCACTCGTAAAGAGTCACTTTTCCGTGGTAATTCTTTCATTTTGAAATATATTGAAATAATACTTGCTATCTTATATTTTTCTGTTGTTTTCATGTAATTTTACTCATTGTTCACATTTACTGATTGTATTTTGGTTTTTCATATTGGTGTAAATGTCATGAATAAAGTAAAAAAAAAATATATATTTTTCGAGCATTATAATTTTTTACAGCACACTACACTTGGATTTCTTTTATTTCGTGATTTAAAATTTGTTTAATTAATTAATTTTTTAATTTTCAAATAGCTAGTTAGAAAACTTTGGATTTAAACATTTATACTTTAAAACTTCGTTAGTTTGCAAATTAAAAAAAATATATTCTCTATCATAAGATAAAAATAGAATAATCACTGATTCTTATTACTAAAACATATAATTCCCTCGTTACCAGACAGAGTAATACTGATGAAAATTTAATCAGGGCGTTTTCCACTAATTTTTATATTTTTTTTTTTTTTGGTCATTGTTTAAAACCTAATCAATGATAGTTATTTTATTTAAAAATCAGTTTTCAATTGGTCGATTAAACTAATTATAATTCTCATTTTTAATCATCGATGTTAGTTGGCACAAAATCGCGAACTGCGCAATTTCAAATTACCCGCAAGTGACCTACCATCACTTTATTCACAAATGTTTTAAAGAAAAACATTTTTCTCATCGTCCACCTAACATTAGATGTATTTATAATCGGTTTACTTTTTTGTGAATCCGCATTTTTAAGTACGTTTTTGATTTATATAATATTAATTTTTAAAAGCCTCTCATCATTGTTAATATTTTATGTATCTAAAGTTAATTTATGGGTGTCTTGAGTATTTCCGTTGTAACTTTAATCGCAATAAATGCTTATAAAAATTAAATTAAAATTTTATATAGGATTTTTTTAACAATATTTTAAATTAAAATGAGATGTATAATATGATTTTATGATATATATATATATATATTTTGAGATTTCAAATATCCATGGCATTTGGCGCATAAAATTGACTTTACATTGAAACATTTATTTTACAGTTATTTCTTTTCATGGTGTATACAATTTTTATTTTAATCCGATCGTCTTGCCATCGTTTGCCTTTTTATTTACTGTTCGTTTTCGCGATTTCGCCCCAATATATTAGACATGAAGTCGTATTGCGGGATATCGATTGATGTTGAAGAAACTTGAAACTGTGGACGGTTTTGTGGAGAGGCGTGGCTGCTGTGAACTTTGCCCAAGCAGGGGCTTAAGGTCGGACTTTTGATGCGAGGGCTTTAATCGCCCGGTGGCCACCTCAGCCAGAACTTAATCCCCTGAAAGCCCAAGTCCGCCAAAGCCTACCCTTCTGCATCACCTGAATGGATAATAGAGGTCTCATCCGACTAGCCCACCTTATACCGGTACTCGTACCTGAAAATAGAAACAGCTCATCATCATATACAATTTCTTGTAAAAGTATCACACGGCACACAAATCACACAAATAAAACACAACACACACACACACACAAGATATATAACAGAATCAATACAAAAATAAAACAGCATTAAAATAGCAGCATTGCAAGTGGAAGCTTTTAAGCTGGACGGCTGAGTTTATATAAACATTCTTTTTTTTACATTTACGCTTAAATATTCAGAATAAACAAACATTGCGGCTTCCAATTCTTTAAATTTACTTAATGACATTTGTTTTAGAAAACATATCTATATCTATATGTATATATAAACAAATACATAAACCCGGCACATGTAATCTGATATATCTTTCATGAGAACATTACAAAAACAGAATATTTGATCAAAACATTTATAATTTTGCGTGAGAAACATTTATTACAAAAAATATTACAATTTAGCCAACAATAGAGAGCCAAAATTTCTGTCTACTTTTCCTGTAAAGTTAGTAGTGTTACGCAATCCAGATCTGTCAATAAAATACATCAAAAATATTGATCATAAAACTCAATTACAAATAAATTTGGACTGGATTACCAACAGCATTTTAACTTTTACAGATGCCATTCTGAGTAGTGGTCCACTCAGCCTGAGGGGCTTAATAAGGGAACTGAGGCTGTATTGATTGTGCCTAAATGCATTAAGAGATGTTTGAGGGTAGTGGGAGGGGAAGGTGAGAATGTGCTAGTGCACGTGCAGTGGTGGAGCAGGGCAGGGTACCGCTAGTGGTGGCGGTGGCTGGCTTAGCGACTCCAATTTTCACTCTTCCATTGTGCTTTCCAAAAATGGTTATCTCTTATGCTATTACACCTTCTCATTGGCTTATCAAAAAACAAAAACATCAATAGAATAAGCACACAGTTGTTAGAGAGCCAAGGATGACGTTTTTAAATACATGCTAAATATAACTCACACAACAGCTGTATCTCATGTAGAACAAGAAATGTAAATGAAAAAATAAATAAATAAAAAAGATGTATGAAATGTCCGTAACGGGAGGATCTGGTGGAAATTGTGGTGCCGACTACAGCTGGTTGAAGGGGACCAAATTTTCCAACAGACCGCATATTTGACCCGAATTCAACCAGCTAGAGCACGGCACCACGGACGTCTTCACAGTTCACACTTGACACTTCACTTGCTTAGTCACTGTTCGTCAATTTTTCCCCAGTTTGCCCCTAGTTTGCCGGCATATTCGAGGTGGAGGATCCGATGCAGAGGAGATGGTAGGGGGAGTTATTTGTGTCGCGGCCGAGTGAGCTAGCTTTATTTAGCGAGGAGCGGGTCCCTATTTTGGATCCTACTCTGGTTTCAAACGAGGCCACGTGCGGTGTGGCTGTGTGGCAGCGGTGCGGGCGGGGAGCGGACTGGGGGCGGTCGTCGTGGCTCGGAGAGGACTGGCGGTGAGGCGGCGCACGCCCGAGCCGCCCCCGCCCCCCTCCTCCCCTCCCCGCTCCCCCTCCAATTAGATATTGACATATCCCACCTCCTCCTCCTCCTCCTCATCCTGTCTACGCTTATAATTAGTGCCCTTCACGTGTCGCCTCATTATCGATGGTCCTTCTTCCCGAATTTCGCCACGTCACGGCTCAGATGATCTCCAGTAGTCAGTCCCTCCCTGACGACGCTAGCCCGCGAGGTATTGCCGGTCGCGTCTACACTTTGCGCCTTCCTCTGTTAACCCCTGAGCTGTTATTATAATTCTTGATGATTGAATATATTTCTGCTTCACTTCAGCTCACATAAATTGCGAGTCAACTATCTCAGATCATTCATTATTTACACCCTAATCCACTGTTTCGTTGTGATTTAATTAGAATAGAAACCGTAAGGGATATTATCATACTGACAATATATTTATGTTACTAACCATTACGTGATAATAAACTAGCTGATTCCATTCTTTTAAATTACATTACTACAATCCATAGTTTTCCTTAAAACTAATGCTTTTCTATTTAACTTAATTATTTTTATATTATATAGGATGCTTAAATAGTTATAAATAATCATTAAATTTTTATTTATCAAATGAAAAATTATATTTATTGAACTTCTTATGCTTTTACTGTCTTATAATGGATTACTACATTTGTTTTATTTAGATACTTTTTTATGGGCTCACCTAGATTTCGCTTAAATTAATGTTAAATAAAAAAAAAAAAGATATTCTAATCTCATATAAATTTGTTTGTCGTTATGACAATTTTAATTATAATTGTCAACATTAATTTAAATATTGATTTGTCAGTCAAAACACAAAATTTATGTGTTTTTTTAAGTTACGAAATGAACAGGTTTATATTGAACTGTAATAAAAAAAAATACTATTACTGTTACTACAACCCATGAAGGGTGTTCTCATGACCGCGGAGTCGATCCACCGCTGATAAAAAAAAAATGTCATTACCTGCCATCAGCTGGATTTGAACTAGGACCTTGAGATTCGGAAGTGCCCTTCCCACTGATTTAACTATCCATTCTTTCATTACTAAGACCGGTTTTTTTATGTAAAATATAAAACTAATTATATACATTAAGAGAGTAAATAAATTAATTAACAATTATAATTAAATTGCAATTGTAATCGTAATCCTGAAGTCTGATGACAATTAAAAAAACAACTACGTTGTTTGCTTTAGACCACACGATAGAAGTGAAAACATCAACAAGGAGAGATCTATTATATAAAATATAAATTCTTATTGGTTATATTTTCACAAATTAATAATATTTGTACAATTTATTAATATTACAATTTATAGCTCATAATAAATAGGGTGAAATGCTGAACATTTTCCTCCCCTGCAGTGTGTAGTTCCGTTATCATTTGCTTTTCGACACTATTTTTTTCTCTTTTCGTCTCTCTTACATGGCGTCGCGTTGAGACTCATTTAGAACAATAGCTCAAAGGGACGATGAAATTCTGAATATTTATCTCGATAACAGTATCAAAGTCCGGTATTTAGTTTTTGAGATATTTAAAAACACATTTATTAATCGACTCTAGCAGACTTTACCCAAATGAGCGTTACACATCCCTGATGGCTCATTCTGATTCCCCCCCCCCCAAAAAAAAGTACAAAACGCCTCTAAAGAGGTTCAACACTTCAAAAATAAAACCACCCATATTTGAGGAAACATTACTACGTAAACATAAATTAGTTTATAAATTTACCTTTAAAAAAACCGGATGGCAATATTTGAAACAAAATTATTCCAACAATTTTAACTGTTAAATAAAATTTTTCGTATTATTTAATGAAGAAAATTAATGTGTATTTAAAAACACTTACAATATATATATATATATATATACACTTACAATATATATATATATATATATATATATAAAACCAACGTTTCCTTCTTTTTTTTTATTTTATATTTGAATATGAATTATCTCCGTTGACAATAGTATGCTCATATTCTCCAAATATCTAAAATAAATATTGTGTATTATTAAAAATGTTCAAATAAATTTTATGGAACGTAAAACAAACTTTCGAGGAAGAGTGCACAAGCCTTAGAAAAGAATATGAAAAATCATATAAATCCGATCTCTTGTCTTCACTCTCCTTCTACTATTCTCTAGAGATGTAAGATACGACATCCGAATGTATTAGGGAGAAAAAAGGTTGATATCAAAGACAGAGTTCTTGGAGGAGTATACTAGTGACACATATTTCTGTGACGCACTTTCTATCCAAAGGGGAGGCTTCGAGCAAAATCAATAGCGACATGCAGAAGTACGAATGGAGAAGTTGTAGTGTTACAAGATATCAAACAACTGATAAAACTAATTTTACACTATTATTTATTCACTAAAGTAAATATCCACATTAATTAAATTTTATTTTTAGCTCTTAACAAATATGTTTTTCTGATTATTCCTATACAGAATTGGAACTCGATTCAAAGTAGTTCGGTACTAATTTACAGGTATGTAGCGAAAAGACATAAAGTGTGATGGGCATCGTGTAAAATCATACAATGATTAAACATGATGGCATAATACCTCTTTTTTTTTTTAAATTTTCAAACACGAAAAACAAAACAAACTTAAAAAAGAGTAGAATAAAAATAAATACATCCAGGGGCATTGAATTATGACGGTGAATGATGACCCGACTTGGCATACGTCATTTATTTAACACAATATCAACAGGGAAGGCTCCCGTTGACACTCTCATGAATTATAAATAATAATAGTAAAATTAAATAAAACAAGATCATTATTTTGTTAATTACATTAGGGTACAAAAGGAAAAGTATTTTCATAAATTTAAGATCTCTAATATATTAAAAAAATATTTATTATATAACTCTAATTGTTTCCGTGTTGTAAAATTTTTAAATCCTAATTTAATTATTTTATAGAAAATTAAAAATTAATAGTTTAGGACGGTCTTTAGTCATGCCGAAACTGAATAAATATTCTTATAATCACAAGGTCTGTAAACCTTGATAAACTCTTAAGGTTTATCTGAAAAGATAATGAGAATGCAAAAATGAACACAAAGGACCATATATGCAAAAATAGTATCTGTCTTTCTTAATAACAATATTTTCTATAATTTTAATTAATGCTATTTTTTGTCAGTAAATATTTATTGTACAGGAAAGTGCTAAAATTACAGTTTTATTAATTTTTTTTTTTTTTTAAATTTACGCACAACAATTAACTTTAGTTTTATTCTATTCGATATTATATTATCTGGCTAGCTCATATTATTAAAATTTGATTTTTTAAACCTCTTTTATTTTTCCTTTCAAAGATTGATATTTAGTAGTTACTTATTTTCACATTTTTCCTAAATAAAATAGGTAAAGTCAAAAGAAGAAAAAAAGCTCCTTTTATCTTAAATCTAAAAAATTCATCTGATTCATAAGACTGCTAGAAAAAAATTAAATTATCTTATTTTAATTTCGTTTTTAAAAATATATGGTCATCAAGGTAGCAAAAATTAATCCAATTTACATCTATTTTCCAAACAAAAATTAAGGAAAATACGATCTTATTGGGTGAAGCTGTGGTGCCTTTTTTTTCGCAGCATTGTACCAAAATAAATAGGTAAATATATTATAAAAAATATTTTTTCTTTTTTTATGTATTTTTGTTATATGTATATTTCGGAAGTCGCTAATATCTATTTATAATTAAATTAATATTAATGTTATTTACTTTACGCTTTGATTACCATGATTACGAGTTTAATTGTTTTTTCAGGTGAGTGATGCGAAAAGCGATTATTTAATCAGGAAAAGAATTGGAGACAGGTATTTATTTTCATTATAATTGATTTATTATTTAAATTATACTTTTAATTATTACGGTTAGAGAAATGCGTGTATGTATGTACACACATAATGTGTATGATTTTTTATTTATTTAAAGTAATCAACTCATTTAAATCTTGGTTGTCTTTGACTACAAAAATAATATTTTTAATAAATTACTCTGTATAGGAAGAATAATTCCATTTTATTTTTTGTTTGCAAAATTATTGCTTCCTCCCAATGTGAATATATATATATATATATATATATATATATATATATATATATATTTTTTTATAAATCTGTGACATAATCAACCTTCCAAGACTATTCCGCATCTTCAGGAATTTTCTTTTTATTATTCATAAATTTTACATATAAACATGATTTATATCGTCACATTGTTTTTAAAATATTGTTTACAATTGTTCTATTTACGAACATCCTCAATGAGAACACTGCAAGGATCTTAAGGATGGATTTCCCTGTACAGATCATTTAAATATGATTACTTATGGATTTACTTTTATATGACGAATTTAGGAACAAAAAAAAAATCCGGAAGATGTCCAAAGCTTCCAACGTGTAACTGTAATGTAAAAAGGATTTACACTGTAACGAAGAAATAACTAAAAATAAATAAACAAACATTAAGATAAATACAATAAAATATAATATATATACTTCGGAAGTCGCTAATATCTATTTATAATTAAATATAATTATATATATATATATATATATATAATATATATATATATATATATATATATATATATATATATATATATATATATATAAAGTATCAGTAATTAAACATTTATGAAGCTCCTTTTTATCCATTCCTTGACAATTGAAACTGAAAACAATATATTTTTCTTAGTCCCTAAGATATGATAACAAAAATATCATGAAGATGTGTGTGTGTGTGTGTGTGTGTGTGTGTATGTGTGTGTGTGTGTGTGTGTGTGTGTGTGTGTGTGTGTGTGTGTGTGTGTAATATTGTATGGGAGATATTAACAAACCTAATTATTTTTTCACTCAGAATATTTCAACTTATTTATAGTTGTTTATGTACATATAGAATAAAAATTAACCAGATTTTTTTCTATTAACTTTAATTTTTCACTCACGCCCGTCAAAACTTCCGACATCGAGCGAGTGTGATGTCGAGTTGTAGAATAAGGACTAGGTCATGGAATAGGCGAGGGAGAGGGGTGCCCAGCGGCGTTCTTCCTGTCTTTTTTTTTTTTATTAACGAAATTTACAACTCTAATTAATAATAATACAACAAGTAAATATGAACAAGTAATATGA